TAAATACTCAGAAGACACATGTAGGCTCACTAGTGGTTTAATATAGTAAATAAAATGTCTATATTTGTGTTGTAGACATGGTGACCTCTGGTTCCTATCAGCACCACTGTAAAGAAATCTGAGTCTGTGAGTTTCTCTACAATAAACCATTTCACAATCCACTCTGCATGACTCTGTTGACATCTCAACCACTGAATTATGCAAAAATGTTGGAATCTGGGCTTAGCCTTTAAATATTACTTAAAACTTGTAAAGGCAAAGGGAGTAAATAGTTCAGTTATCCTAACATAAAGACAACAAATACTGAAGTAAACTACACTGCCCACTGTAACCTTGGAGCTCCTTCGGCTGGTGGAAAAGCAGCAGAGTGAACTTGCCTGCCTGATGTTATTTAATTCTCCTTAAACCCAGCTATGATGAGGTCTGACTTTGCTGCTAGCTTGAAGCTTTGGCAAGTGTTAGAGAAAGAAAGGGAGCAAGTGAGAGAGAGAGAGAGAGAGAGATATTGAGAGAGAGAGAGAGAGAGAGAGAGAGAGAGAGACCGAGAGAGCCCGAGACCAGGAGCTCTTTTGGCCTGGTTTGAGAACATTAGCCTTTAAGCTCCAAGAGAGTCCCATCTCAGCTCGTCACTGTCCACATGAATGTAGGTCAGTATCTGTGTGAGTGTATTCTGTAAGTGGACGAGACAGAGAAAGACACTGACCAGGAGAGAGTTGACAGAAGACATTAGAGATGGTCAAAAATGTGGAATTTCAGACGACTGCAGCTGTCTTGTTATTTCAGGCTCATCTGTACCTTGGCCTGCTAGCGCAGAACCGCTGGTGAGAGCAAAAGCGAGGCTAACAGCATGGCTTTAATATGCACATCCAAACAGGCTCGCATACAGGTTTTTCCAGTGAGGACAGATCCGCTGATTAGAGAGTGAAACTGATAACGCACGACTAAACTTACATAAAAGATGACCCTTGCCTGTGTAGCAGTACGGCTGAACATACTGTGCATAGGCTGGAAGATGTTATCCTATGGAAAGAATTTAGCAAGCTGACTTCAGGTCTTTTAGCACTGTGGGTTAAATCAGTACATGAGCTAATGGTAACAGTTTAACGTTAGATGAGAGTTGTCGTCGTCTTTTACATGAGGTAAATAATTTTCTACTCAGCGAATGATGTGTAAACATTGGCTTATCGAGGTAACACTGAGAACAGAGAAGTCTTCTCTAAGTTCAGCTGTTGTGGTTGGCCTAGCCGCACTAAGTTACTTCAGACTTAGTCGTATCTGTGGCACTCGTGTTCTGTAGTAACATTAGCAAAGTAAAGTAACATGCAGCAGTAAGATACTACACTGAGTGGGAAGGGCACTGAGCTACCTCGTAGGCCTAACGCAGTGGTTGACAACCCAAACGTTAAGAAGAGCCATTTTGTCCTTTCAACAAAAATCAAACCACCTTGGGAGCCACAACATTTTACGTCCATTTTACCATCTTGGCTGTAAATATGTCTCAGTATGTACTAATGTACTAGTACAGGCTAAAAGTCTAATATAAACGATAATGCAGACTTACTTCACTCTGCTTTAAGCTTTAGCTCAGACATAGCTGCTTTTCTCGCATCTCCAGCAGGAAACTTTTCCTCAAAAGTAGAATAGTTTCTTGTAAAATGTCTCTCGGCATTAGATTTTTACGAGGCTGAAATCAGCTTCTCATTCACTAGCTTCTTGTTCGAATTTTACCATTCCACCTTAAATTCTGCCTGAGGCGCCAGAATGTGACTGCGGCACCTTTAAGGTGGAGCGGGAGAATTCGAACAAGAAGCTGGCGAATGAGAAGCTGATTTCAGCTACGTGACTTTTTTAGTGTTTGACAGTTTCTTCTTGCAGGTTAAACGTATAAGGAAACCAGATGGAGTGATTATAAATGTAAATCGTAAAAAAATTAAAATGTAAAAAAAGTCAGTTCGTCTCCAAACTTTGCCGTTTCGTTGGTTACTAGCTAGGCGAGATTATTGTCTGCATTGCTATGCTGACGAGCAGTCTGCACGCCAACCTTCAGGGTTTAGAGGTTGGTGAATTAGCAGATTTTGGCTATATTAACTCCAGCGTTTAAACCATTTATTGTTAAATCTGCGTTAGAAAGATAAGCAGAGCTTTATTTAACTGCAAAGGAGGATTATTTTATTTTTACCCTTATTTAATTCTGCTGTGGAGCCTCAACAGGGCAACCTGGCCATCGATTCAGTACTGAAGCTTCCAGTTTTATGTTTTCCTGTATTTGCTCAATATTGGTATCAACAGGACCTAAAGGTACTTGAGGTAACACTTGGTAACACTTGCAGCTGAAGCTAACAACAACAACAACAACAACAACAGCTAATTCTTACCTCTCCAGGTCAAGATAAAGTTACCAAGGACTATTACACAACCCAAAAAACGCAACAGAATGTAAACTCGAACAGTATGTTTATGTGTCGATTCCTATTTGTAGAATCATTACTTAGAATTATTATTAGAGTTTGCTAGTTAGGAAGCTAACGGTAAGCTTTCGCTCAGACTTTCACTCAACAACTTTGCTTGATCCTACGCATGATTCTGTGCAACTGTAGACATTTGTGTGAGTATAAGAGCAGAAAAGTGCATCTATATTATTTCAGCTCACCCAAGTTATGCTGACTAGCAAGCAAGGTAGCTAATTAGCCAAACCGAATGCTTCAAAATGGCATCAAATGGTCAAAAAGACAGTTCCACACATCTCCAATACAGCTGGACAATGAACTAGTACTAGAACTGTAAGTTCCCTTGGTTGTCACTTGGGTCAGTTCTTGTTTTTGAATACGCAGTCATGAGGTAGTTTAGGTCATAAAACAGTAGGATGGTCAATGTACAAAGGTAAGACTAGCATAAATGGCTTAATGATAAACTACTAAGAGTGTAACAAGATAACTACCAACAGTAAAGAAGGCACTGATAGCACTTTTAATATGTTCAATTATTAATGCCAGTTATTCAAAATGTTAAATGAAAAGACTATGTAGCAAGTTAGCATCACAGCAGGCCAACTCAGATGTGCTACAGAGGATTTTGTCATAGCAGTGTCTCTTAGCAAAGGCTGTTCTCACCTCTATCTGCAGTTACAGCCTCTTATTGTGTAAAAATATTTGCGTTAATCATCTAATGAGGTTAATGATCAATTGTTATGTAACAGGATTATAGCAGCCTGTATTGTTTATTTAAATTCTCTTCAAGCAAGCATGTGACAGCACACAGCAGGAATTAGCTTGTGTTCATGGCCATTAAAAATAGGCCCATTTTCATCTGCTTAGCAACAGGCGTCTCTACACAGTATCTGTGTACAATGAAATGAAGTCTTGTAGTGCTGAATTTATGCTCGGTGCTAAATCTGTTCTTTCAGCGCTTGAAGTGTTGAAGTCAAATTAGACTCATATTCAATGTATAATGTTATCTATGCAGCATACAACTACCTTTTTTACCATATAATGTATAATAACAGTCACTGGCCACTTTATTAGAAACCTCTACTTTGTAGCTCTTTCTTGCTGGTGTTGTAGAGACTGTACACCAGCTGTTGATGCAAAATTTGGGTTAGCAAACCTCACAAGCCAGACTTTTGACTATTGGACTGATGTCTGAGAATCTGGTAGGTTTCATTGTTCAATGTAGACCATCGTAGGGGCGGGTGATTCTTAAAAACGAGGCGACAAAAACAGACCCGAATGAAACAAAGTGGTATTTGTCAGGAAAAACACTGGAAAATATCTCAGTTACTTTCTACTAATGCTTCATAGAAAACGCGAATAAAATTTGAAGATGTGATGCTGTGAGTGACCATATCTTGCTCCAAAAGACTCGCTATTGTCACAGAGCACAGAGTGAATAACGGCGTGCAAAAGTGTGTCCCATTTGTATCATAGCCAAACAGGGTGTAAATGACAAAGTTCTGATAACTGTGGCCAGCTTAGTGTACAACAAATATCAGAGGGGCCATGGACGCCTGGGGGCGGAGGCTGAAACTAGCCATCTTCTAACTCAGGGCTGCTTTCTATCACACGGGCCAGAGGTGGCCTGTCAGGACATTTGATGTTCACCCGATGACAGAGCAAACATATATTTATACAACAACTTATTACATTCTTATTTTCCTTTTAAATCTGTATTTTTGTAGCATTTTTTAACAAAATGTAGAATAAAGTTAAAACCTACCTGCCTTCTTCATTTGTGTATTTTTGGTGTTTTGACCCCCGGCCCACCGCAAACATAGCACTAACATTTGGCCCCCAAGATAAAAAGCTTGTGCACCCATGTTCTAACAGTTTTTGATATTTTTGGTGGACTATATGTATATATACATGTACTGGGCCTATAACAGTGGTCCACAGGTACATGATACGCTCATGGCGCCAGTGGGATCTGGTAGAAATTATTAGATCAGAAAATTAATGATTCAGTTAAGATTTTTAAATAAGAATGTAAAAATGCACCTCCAGCCATTGATTTCAGTGCATTGAAGGACAACAGACTCATAATTGGGGTCCATTTTTAAAAAGTTTAGCTCTTGACAGAACTTATTCTGACATAACCATGCGTCAGCCTATACAAGGTGGTGTGGACACTATTTAGTCCAGCTGATGTTCTGTTTGTCACGTGATGAAAAAAAGGTCAACCTCTGTCCAAAACCCTCCTACAACAAACCAGCAACATGTATCAGTGATTATTTTCCATGGATACCAAAATGTCGTATGTATGCAGTCTAAAGCTTTCATATAGCTAATGCTAGAAAAAGGCTACTACAAACTTTTAAAGAGTGTTAGATAAAATAAATAGATTAGTTTTAGCCTAGACAATATGAATTAAGCATAACAGGTCCTTTGTCTACCAGTCGAGAACAAGATTGAGCCCATCAGGAAAATAACATACTGTCTTATGACGTTGGTGAACCTAATACAGTGGACAGTGAGCGGAAGTGGATGGTAAGTGAAGGAGTTACTCACTGTTCGTGTTGGTTGTCGCAGGTGGCGTCGGTGGCTCGTCTGAGGTCAGGGAGGCAGTGTCATCGTCCTGCGAGCAGCCGGCCTGAATGGCCCGCAGGTAGCTGTGGCTGCGTGAGCGGAAGCAGGTGGGCGTGGGCAGGTCCAGAGCCTCCACGGCCTGTGAGTCCAGTTGACCATACGCCGTCGTGCTTATGTAGCCCTGCTCCACCTGGAAGGAGACGCGCAGGTTAAGACGGCCCATCCTGGGCTGAGGGCGGCGGCCAACGGCACGGAGAGGCGCCCCGTACGGGGGCAGCCTACAGTGGTGCTGCAGAGGTGGGTGGGGCATGGCAGTGTGGATGTGGGGGGGCTGGATGAGTTAAGAATTGAGTGATCTATCTATCTTTCTATCTATCTATCTATCTATCTATCTGAGGAAACAAAATGTCATGAAACAAAATTTTCAAGTTTTCCTAGTTTCAGAAAGGGTTCTATCTAGAGAAGAAAGAGAAGTTGAGTCTTGGTTCCTCTCAGTGGTTCTGGAGTTTTTCCTGACACTGCTGCCCTTGGCGATGCTCATTAGGGGCCTGGATTTCTGGAAAGCTGCTTTCGGACAATGTCTTCCGTGAAACTCTTTATGTAAACAAAACTGAATTAAACCGAATTGAGTGATTGACACATTGATTTGTGCCTGTGCATCTCCAGTGTCCCGCTTTAGGAACCGTTAACCCATCCACACGACTTAAGAAAGCATTTGTTTATCAGAGCTGATGTTTCATACTCCTTGATGGGATATAACAAGGTCACAATGGCTGATTCCTCAGTTCAGTGGTCCAAAAGAAAGTCCAAAAATTCAGATCCAAAGTGAGAAAGATTCACACCCACCTTTGTTTAGACACACATTAGGGCTTCGCCATATAGATGAAATTCTCTATTGTGATTATAATGCTACATATCATTCCAATAAAATTTCCAATAAAAAGATGCCAGTGAATCCTTGATGTGACACGTATAAAGACTGACCTTCGTTGCTTCTGGATAAAATAATTTATGCTTCTAGAATTGTGGGAATTTGCATGTCCTTTTGCGATATCACAATAACAATATATACATATACATATGTATATACAACATATACACTAAGCACAAGCGCACAGGTAAATTGTATGTCTCTCTTTTATGTATCCAATAAAACGGGATCTTCTTGAAGTCTCAATACTTTATAGCTCTGATTCTGACCACGTTCCTTTAGCGATACAGCCGTTTCCTCACAACATCATGTGCCAACAGTAGCTTTAAACCCAGAAGTCTGATTAGGCGAAGATGAAAGCTAAATCTAATCTCTGCCCTTCACCATGCTAACTGAACTTAGGATACATTCACCTCCTCCTGACTCTACCTGCAGAAAAAAGGCAATCCAACTGTTCAAACAGCCCGAGAGTCTGCAGGGAGGACGACTACAGCAGGCTTTTTGATGTGGGAAGAGTGAGAAACGTCTGTTTGTCCAACCAGCAGGCAGCAGTTCCCACGACACTGCGATAGAACGGGGGCAGCGCTGTTGTTTCACTGTGTGTGTAAAGGATGGGCCTGATAATTAAAGGTAAACATGGGAACAAACAGAAGGTTACTGTCGACCAAAAACCACTGAGAGAAACAGATTCACGAAATTCAACACTCTGACAAAAAAGCTCAAGGCAGGTCAGAAAATCATGAAAAAGGCTGAGTTTTTGGACGTTAAAGGATCCACCGTTTCCGTTATTGTCTTGCTGAGTTATTGTAAAAACACATCACCCAACAAGGACTGGGAAAAAAAAGTAAAATGAAAAGTGAAGTAGTCCAGACCAGCATAAGTGGGAAAAATAACAGGACGATGGAAAAATTAAGTAGTCCAGACCAGCATAAGTGGGAAAAAATAACAGTACAATGGAAAAATGAAGTAGTCCAGACCAGCATAAGTGGGAAAAATAACAGTACAATGGAAAAATGAAGTAGTCCAGACCAGCATAAGTGGGAAAAAATAACAGTACAATGGAAAAAATTAAGTAGTCCAGACCAGCATAAGTGGGAAAAATAACAGTACAATGGAAAAAATGTAGTCCAGACCAGCATAAGTGGGAAAAATAACAGTACAATGGAAAAATGAAGTAGTCCAGACCAGCATAAGTGAAAAAAGCCCAGTACAATAACAAATAAAGAAACCGAAAAATGGGGTTAAAATTTACATTTTTTTAAAAATGACGTAGTCTAAACCAGGACTGAGGAAAAACAAAAGTACAGTAAAAAATAAACCATTCTTCATTTTCGTTCACATGGAATTAAATACCAAAAAAGTAATCCCTGCTGGCTTCTTCGCTCCTTAAGAAACCTTCAAACTGAATCCTCGGAATGCAGCCACAAGTGTAAATTTCCTCATCACGTTTAAGTGTTTTTTTTCTGCGCAGGATGTTCTGTACTTCCGAAAGGCTGAAGATGAGCTCACTAGTAGAGGGAGAATCAGGGGATTAGAGCGACTTCTGTGCCCCAAAATCTCCAACAGAATAACACTCCATCTCCTCTTCGTTCTCCTCAAGCTTAAGGACGTCTTACATATATGCACACGCCTCAGCGAGCTTAATCCAGAACACGCTGTCCTTGTGGCCGCATAAACGCAGAAATACCCCAGAGACATTTCAGAGGCTCTCTAATCAAATTTTACAAGCTATAATTTATTAAGCTCTTTTTTGTGAAGAACCCAGAAGCCATGATGTCATCAAACTGATTGCAAAGGATGTGGAGGGTGGCAGGGATGGGTTTTGGTCTATTTTCAGTTGCAATTTACATTTAAATGTAACCGTAACCTTCAGTTAAATGAATAGTGCAGCGGAGAGTCTATATGTCATATATATGTATCAGACAAAAACAAGTTTGGTGTCTGAAGTTTCCTCCTTTAGTTTTGCACTGAAACTACAAGGCTAATGTCTCATAGCTAACACAGTAGTAGCAGACATCTTGAAGCCAGAGTTTTGACCATGTTCTCAAAACAGGAGAAAAAAACAATTTGATGTAGTTTAGTAAAGTGCATGATGATTCCACCTAATGTTGTTTGCATGAAGTTGGTGAGGTGTAACGCTGCGTCCGGCATTTTTCAGTTTTTGAAAAAATTTGTAACTGCCTGTTGTTGTTTACATTGTGTGTAAATTTCATGATGAATGGACTAAATCATGTGGAAGAATGTCTGGTTACATTGACTGACATTAAAAGTAAAGTAGGTTTTTTCTTTCTCCTGTAAAGTTCCTATTTTGGAGAGGTTTTGATCCAACAGTTGTGTTTTGGATGTGTACATACTGGTCAACCAGCATGAACATACTGGGGTAACTAGCTAAACCAGCACCAGACCAGCATTAACCAGCAGACAGACAAGTTAAATTACCATTAGACCAGATTAGACCAGCATGGACTTCATTCTGGTCTGTGCTATTTTTTCAAAAGGGATCTCATTTAAAAGTGGAGATTTAAGTCAGATCATGTTGATATGACGTGTCATGTGGAACTCCAAGTTCAGGATACCTTCCTGATTTTCTGAACAGGGATCTCATTGGAAATTCTCAGTTACAAGCTTTGATTGAATGCAGCATAAGCATTCCATCAACTGCTAGCCACATTAGCCTCGTAGCTCCAGGGCAAAACTGCTGCAGCAAACTTCTGACACCAAACAAGTCTCTGCTGATTGACTACATTTTGGGTAATTCGGGAAATGTGTAGCCAAATTATTGCTTTATTCTATGCAGATTTTACATATTTTCCTATAAATTCATTTTCGCTGGAGCATTTCAACCAATTTTGAGAGACTGGAAGGTGAACAAGGCTGCATGAGACAAAAGCTAAGACCAATAGTGGGTGAATAGGGGGAGAAAGAGAGAGTGAGAAAGAAAGAAAGCTAACCTGGCTGATGCCGGAGCTTCGGCCCAGGGTGGAGCAGCCATGAGCTAGCCTGCCTTCCGGCCCCCAGTGCTGGATGTCACTCTGACCCACCAGACAGTCCAGGTTGTCCAGGCTGCGGTTGGTCGAGAACTCCCGCAGAGACGGCAAGCAGCTGGGAGGCAAGCAAAGAGTGGAGAAAAGGTTTTGATCACTCTTGGACGAGAAGTTCAGCTCTGGTCGCTCCTGAAGCGATATTAGAGATATTCTCATGGCTTAGCAAGAACAACTATGAATCAGATTATTTAACTGAATTTATTAAAGCCTAAAGCCTAAATCAGGAATTGCCAAAAGGGTCATACCTGCCCTAGATCAAGATCTATGTTCACTGAGTGTGGAATAAACTGTAACGTTGATGTTTGAAGGCCAGAATCAAATCTATCAGATCATGACAGAGACAGCAATTCCTGATTGAGTCTTAATGGAATAGTTTAGAGAAAAGATCAAATTTACACATTTTCCATTTAACCCAAGTTAATCAGCCAAGAAAATGTTTGGTGTCTGAAGTTTGCTTTGCACTGGAGCTACGAGGCTAATGCAGCTAACAAATAACAGAAGCTTGTAACGGTTAGCATTGTACAAACTGCATGGCTAAATAATCACTTGCCTCAAACTCTGTAATCTGAAATAGACTGATGTGATTCACAAATGTATCTTGATTTGCTAAAAACAGTAATAAGCCATTGTGAATTTGTCCATCCTGAAGCCTGAAGGCTAAAAACTTCCATGACTTAGCTACATTAGCCTTGTGCAAAACTACAGAAGTAAATCTCTGGACACGCAACATGTCTTGGCTGATGACTATATTTGGGTAAAAATATAAAAACTGTATAAATTTGGCTTTTTTGCCTTTACATTCATGCATGTGTGAGAAGCGAGAGGTAAGAAGCCACAGCACAGAGGAGCTAACCATGAAAATCTGTTTAGTTCACTCTCATCACTCCTGGTTTCCTCTGCCCTGTTAATGGTTAATGTGGTTAATAACTGTGTTTCAGTGGGGAAGTGAGGAGGTTAGTGGACCAGGATCTGTCTGGGTCTGAGAGGGTTTAAGAAGGCTTCGGGAAATACGTCACTTCACTTCATGGAGCGTATGGGTGTAATGGTTAGACGAGATGAGTTAAAGGGGAACTCCACAAAGTTTTTCAAAAGTTCCACATAATTAAATGGTTGAGATGTAAACAATGTCATTCAGAGTGGTTTGATGTGAACTGCTTCGTTTCAATGTGAACTGTTTCCGTTTTCTTTCGTGAGATTGTCTCAAAGGAATAAAGCAGATCTCAATATTGCATTAATGAAGGATTTTTGAATTCTTTCTCCTAAACCCCCCTTAGGAGAAAAGAGGAGATTAACATGAGCATTTGATTGTAAGACGTTCTGGTGATGAATGAGAAAAGCGTGAGTTCTCCTTCTGCACTGATAGACGGCTGAAAGAGTTCTGTGATGTATAAGAAAACAATGAGATCTTAAACTATTCTTATGGAACTATTATTCAGCTAAACTGGGGTGAGACGAGTGAGACACTAAAGAGAAAATCCACATGTTTGACAAGATTTTGATCGGAGTGAGAAAATCGGAGGGTTATTTCTCAGGAGCCACGTTTCAGAAACAGGAGAAAATGGCTTACATCTCGCTCTGATTTCATGCAGGACTTAACCATGTTTAGGAGACGTACATGAGATTAAGAGGAGATCTCATTCAGGATATTTCTTTCCTCTGGGCTGACACAGTCTGACATACCGTTATCTACAAAAATGGACAAAAATATGTTGTGAAGCTATAACGACAGTAGCAGCAGCAGCAACCATCGTAAGGCTTAAATTTTTTCTGTACTTTTTTCTAATTTTCATACACAACAATGTTTTATACTCTGTCAAGTATCTGATGATTTAAGTGTGCAGTTTGCACATTGCTAATGCTTCGCTTAACTTAGCAGGGAATTACATGGGAAGTTGGAGCTCAGAATTACATCATGTTCAACCTCTCTGCATCTGAGCTACAACACGGCAAAGAAATTTACACAACCACAAACGCTAGCATTGTTAGCAGAAAGCTAGCCGTTAGTAAAATGAGTGAACTTTAACGTTCATGATCTATTTACCTTCTCAGAACTGAACTTCATGTGTGAAAATTATAGATTTATCCAGCTACCGTGTCTGTATGCTGATCGTTCTATAGCAAATAATACCAAAATCTGATTTAAAAGTAGAGAAGTGGTACTTTATTACTGTAGATGGTGTGATCAGCCGTATTGATATGATGTCTAACTCGGAGCCGAAGACAGCTTCCCGACTTTCCAAGTAGGAATTATCAGTTCCGGGGGTTACTACATGTTAGCTAAAAAGCGTGAACATTGAGGTGAACATTCAGGATTGGGAGAAAAATTGTGCAAACCGGATTTTTCAATGAATACTTTACATTTTAGCCAACTTTAAGCGCTGACCATACCATGCTAGGGTTAGTCACATTTTCTCCTGTTCCATTCCATTTAGAGTCACTGAAGAAAAGAGGGAGTTAGGTGAGGAAGCGGATAAGCATTGTGGAGAATCAGGACGGAGCCATGGACTCGGTGAGCGGTTGGTGGTTAGGTGGAGTCAGGAAGGCTGCTGTGGCTCAGGTGGACGAGAGGTGGTCTGACGGGCAGGGTTGGGTGGCACTGACCTTCCCAGGTGCTGCATGGAGCAGGCATTCTGCAGAGGCGCCCAAACCACCCCAAAGTGCTCCCGCATAAACGGGCAGGCGTGGTGTCTGCCGGCATTGATAGAGGGGGAGGTGGAACGTTATAGAAGAACACGGAGAACTGTACTTGCAGAGATTTATGCTGGTACTGTGCTTTGGAATTGGCCATAAAAGTAACATCTTTCTTTAAAGTCTGGTGTAGTTGCTGATATGAAGTGAAATAAACCTCTTTTATTACCGTGCAAGTTGAGGACTCTGAGATTGTTTTACCCTTAAGATTGTCAGCTTGGTACTGAAATGGAATGGCAAGCTCATCACCTGAAATGTTTTCTGAGAAGGCAACCAGAAATAAATCTGCACTGACACTGCAGCCATGGAAACCAAAAAAAAGTAACAAGTCTACCATTGAGTGTCAATCATTTTTTATATTTGCTTAGTAAATAACTTAAAAATTACATGAACATGAACAGAGGCATAGCCAATGGGTGGCCAGTGCCACTCTGGAATGAAGTATGGCCACCATTCTGACCAACTAATTAAACATCAGTTATGGTTTGAGGTGAAAATCTGCCATCAGGGTTGTTACAAATCAGTTATGGAGTCTGATGACGCTGCATATAATAGTTATCGTATCTTGCTGTAATAAGATAATTTGCTCAGTAATGATCAGGTGAATTAATGTGAACTGGGTCCCATCAGCAATGCTGCTCTGTGAGCCACATTACTACATACTATTCCACTGTAAGATACGTTAACTACTAAAATTAGTCCACTATAATCGTTTATCATGCTGACTATTTACTTTTTACAGTTGAATACAAGCACGTGTCGTAGGTTATCTTATACATTGCGGTCTGGCTAGTCTTCTAATCATTAGACTCACGTATAACCTGTAGTGAGTGCCACCTAAACTTACATGGTCTGTCTATTTAAAATGTTTTTCTTAAAGTTAACAAGTGATGCATTTAATTTACTGGATTCAAACAATTCATTTCCTTATTAATGACTAAAATATCGTTTTTGTCAGAAGAAAACCTCGTATCTCCATTTTTGACGTTTTTCAGTTTTTGACATACTTTGAAAACGCCTGTTGTCCTTTACATTGTGTGTAAATTTCAAGATGAATGGAGCAAAAGAAATGACCCAAAATGACTTGGAAAAAAGTCTGGTTCCATTGACTTACATTAAAAATAAAGTAGGTTTTTTCCTTCTCCTATAAAGTCATCGTTCTGGAGATATGAGGTTTTTTTCCAACAACAGCAATATGTTACACCAACACAGTTTTTTTTTCTGTAGTTGTATTGATGTAATATATTATTTATATGGAAATGATGGACAGATTCAGTTATGTACAGAGAAAAAAACAACAATTCATGTCATTTTAATACAGTAACATTATTTTATTATTTTTTTCCCTTAGCAGTCAGTCACCCCACTAAAATCTCTGATCTCACCTGGCCACCCCATTCTAAACCTTCCAGTTACGCCCCGGACATGAAAGAATAGTGTTGTCATGAAGTGAACATACAATTCAGATTCAAAACAATATAAAACCGTAAAATTAACTCAACAAAGCGTTGTAAAAACTATGTCAAGCTGATGTTACTGACATAGTAGAAAAACAGGCTTTCAGAGGTTCAAGTGGACCTCACTGTTTCTGATCTGCCTTTCACCAGGGGCTTGTTTACTGTGTACTATTATATGCTGCTTTCCTGCATAAATTCCCATTCACGCCAATTTGGCTTGGTCTCATTGTTCTGCTCTCGTCTCTTCACGCTGCTTTATTCGCTTCAGTCATATTTCGCCCGTTTTTTCCAGTCGAGCATGGTTGCTTGTGTGGTAGACGTTCATAATATTATTGACACAAAGTAACAAGGAAATGCTTCACTTGTTAACATATGAGACTCATCGACTATCATTCTTCGCTGCTGCTGGCTGGTTTAACAGGTTTACTAAAAAGGGATAAATTACATGAAACCTTTAACCCTTAAAATCCCAGTCTTGTAAAATACTAAGGCTTATTATTTGGCAACTACAGGGACTTCAATGCAAACTGGCTGAGCTACTCTATACAGAAGTGTGTGATAAACCTTTGGGCCTTCGGGGGGCCTGGCCATTTAAAGGGTCAACTCAAGGCCTAATACAAAACCAAAATGACTACCCCACAGGTTCCCACCCCTGGTCCTGGAGGACCCCACTGTCCTGCACCCAGAAAGGGTTTGTTTATCAGCTTATTCAATTGCAGCCCTTGAACAATTACTCAAGTCAGTGACTCAGAAGCTATAAGAACTTACATTCTAAAGTGAGATGCCAAAAATCGTGGAGGTTTCTGGTGTTTTGCCCTGACATTCTCAAAGAAACACAGCCATGCCAAGGGGAAAGATATTCATAATGCCCAGCTGGTGCCCTCTGCTGGTCCCATGAGGCACTTGCCAACACTGCAGCTCCAAGAGTTGGCATGCAGTAAGTCTAACTAGCAGCTAACAGCTTGTTTTCAGTGTTAAAATAACAGCATGTCTTAGCCAAATGCTTGGTGAGTCACAGGTTATAATGTAATTTCATCATATAAAGGGCTTTTTAGTGTATTAGAAAGAACGCTGTGCTTCTGCTTTTCCCTGATTTTATTCAGCTAATTAAGCGTCAACCTCACAGACTTTTTAACAAACTGAAACTCAGCAGAGCGCACCAAACAGATGCAGAGGCAGTGCTCATAAATAATCTCGGAGCAAATGCAGCTCCAGGAAACAGCACTTGCAGACATATTTAATAACATAGTGGAACTTTTTCTTTTATCAGCCTTTTGCCCCCATATGTAGTTCCTGTACAAATGTGGAAAAAATACTGTTGTTGCGAGTTTTTTCCCACAATCTGGCATTATGATATGCCTAGTAATACATTAAACCCACACTGGTGAATCAATAATGTGACATGGTCAAAGATTGGCCTCCATTATTCAGACCAAAATAATAACTTTAGTGGATTGGATTACATGAATATCTTGCTTCAACCCACAGAAACACTCGCCTGGAACTGTGGTCAGAAAGCTCACAGCGCATGAATATAAAACACTGTGACTGGTTAAAGGGCTCATTAGCATGTGTCTCCTGTGATATCAGCACTGTAAAGCTAACAGGGAGTTTGAGCACTGATAGTAGTATGGGGTGGCTATGGTAATTGCAAATACTTCTGCACAGATGCTGAAGTCCTGGAAACTCTAACGCTGTGTTTACGTGGCCTGGGGCAGCAGCACATCCCAATGGCTACTATTCATTTTCTATGGGAAGTGTTGTGTTCATTGCGCGTACCATGATTTGACTGGCGCACCGAATTTGGAGGATGCAGTGCATCAAAAAAGTCGAGCTCAACTGAACTTTATGCAGAAGAATCTGGCCAATTTGATGTGGTCTAAAGTGGTGTCTGCAGGATTAGTGTCTTCAGCTCAATGATTCGGAGTGTTGGGACAGAGCAAAGACCAGGTTAAGATTTTTTTTAAAAAGAAAGAAAAAAGTGGAAATTAATTTGTAGTTCATTGTACATTGTGTACAATGCATTATACATTATATAATATAATATAACGTATCATTTATTAATATAAGTTCAACTTTGCATTGTAACTTTTGCAAGTAAATGATGGTGAGATTCTTCTCTATCCTTTCTTCTCTAAAACTTATTCAGAATCGCTACCTAAACTAAATACAAACCAAACTACATTTTTCCACATTTATGTTATAAAATGAAAACATGGAGGCGATCAATTACATCCTTAATTGGCAGTGAACAAATTTTATTTAAACACGTAGAGAAAGGACAGTTTTATTCTGTCTGAAGGTTTTGTTGATTATTACATAATAATAATAAAAGGAAAGTTTCTAGTTACCTCACATTGAGGCATCACACTCGGCTGGTCTCGAGAACAACTGCTAGTCCACCTTATCGAGAAACTCAGACAAATCTGCCTCCAAATGATGTCGAGACCGAGCCGAGACTGAGGCCATGAACGCCTTAAAATCTTGGGCTTATTACACACTAAGGCTCATTATTCAGTAACTCATGGACTTCAATGCAAACTGGCTGAGCTATCCTTAGGTTCTATAAGTGTGTAATAAAACTTTGGGCCTGCTGGTGGGTCCTGGCCATTTAAGGGGTTAATTCACACTCTCAAGACCAGACTCAGGTACTACAACACTACCACTCATCAAACACTTCCATGCAACATGGACACACAGCGATGAAAAACCCAAATATTAAACAACAATTATTTCCACCTCCAAAATTCAGAATCCGAGTAGGATGTTAATTCACAGAGATAAATGACTGCAAGTGAAAATCAGCAGCTGCTCCTCAAATCCAAATCTGTCCAACAGGAACCTAATCAATGTTTTAGCTGTATCATGTGCACTACATTGAGTTTTTGATGATTAAAAATAACCAAAGCATCAATTATATAAATATTGACTTAGCAAGACTTCATTTGAATTGGATTTCCCTTAAGCAGCCAACTAAGGGGGGGGGCATTTACGTCCATCACTGCGCTGGACCAGTGTAAATACAGAGTGACTGTCTTTGGAGTCATGGAGATTTCAAAGTTGAATTACTGTGACTGCTTATCACTACTGCTGTCTCTGGTGCAAACCGATGAATATCACCAGAAAAACTGACTGAAGTTGACCTCACTGAAAGAACAGTGGTGTCATCTGCTGCTGTCTCTGCCTCTGTTGTTGTTTAAAGACTCTAATATCACCATAACGATTAACAGACCCTGAATTGTGTAGCCCAGTGTGTGCGTATGAAACAGCAGTGTCACTCACTTGCGTGGTGGTGGGGGTGGTTGCTGTTCGCTGAGGGACTGCTGAGTGGCCTTCAGGTAGCTTTGGCGACGGGCAGCTGTTTTGGGAGAGGGTTTGGGGGAGGGAGGGCTGTCCGATTCCTCGCTGTCCTCCATGTCCCCCATGGCTTTAACGTAGCTCCCGCTGCGCATCCTTCTACACGGGATCTCCCCTGGCCCTCCGGCGCCCCCGCGACCCATCGTCCCGCTCCAGTCTCCCAGAGGCACCTGCGAAAACACCAGCATCCGCTCACACGCTGCACATCTGGAACATTCAGAATGTTCCTCCTTACTGCACTGCACCGCTCTCTATGGCTTCACCGTAAAATAAGCCATTTTAAACTAATTCCTACAGACTTCAGTGCATCTGAATGTAGTTTAACTCTGCGGGTAAACATTTAACTCTGTATGAAGTAACTATAAGAGGTATGAAGGAACTATATGAGGCGATTTTCCAATGCTGGATTCAAACAGCACAGCTTCAAAATTACTCCCCTCTAAACCCATTTGGCTTAAAATCCTCACACAGTTTTAACCCTCAAATTCAGGGGTGTTTTACTAACTGCCATTAACAACACAATAGTTATATACACCGGTCAGGCATAACATTATGACCAACTCCTTGTTTCTACGCTCATTGTCCATTTTATCAGCTCCACTTACTATATAGGTGCACGTTGTAGTTCTACAGTTACAGACTGTAGTCCATCTGTTTCTCTGCATACTTTGTTAGCCCCCTTTTACTCTGTTCTTCAGTGGTCAGGACCCCCATGGACCCTCATAGAGCAGGTACTATTTGGGTGGTGGATCATTCTCAGCACTGCAGTAACACTGACGTGGTGGTGGTGTGTTAGTGTGTGTTGTGCTGATATGAGTGGATCAGACACATCAGTGCTGCTGGAGTTTTTAAACACCTCAGTGTCACTGCTGGACTGAGAATAGTCCACCAACCAAAAATATCCAGCCAACAGTGTCCTGTGGGCAGCGTCCTGTGACCACTGATGAAGGACTAGAGGATGACCAACACAAAATGTGCAGCAGCAGATGAGCTATTGTCTCTGACTTTACATCTACAAGGTGGACTGACAAAGTAGGATTGTCTGACAGAGTGGACAGTGAGTGGACACAGTGTTTAAAATAAAATTTATATATAAATACACACACACATAAATAAACAAGATGTTACCTGTAGAAAGTTGGAGGTCAGCTCCTGGTGGTAGGACTTGGACTTGAGCAGCGTACGGTTCACGGTGGCCGTACCCTTCTGCAACACCTGTCTAGCCTGGCTGAGTGTTAGTGTGGACCATGAGCCTCTCTTGACCAGGCCAGTGTCTGCTGGCTGGCCGGCAGCAGGGGGCACCACTGCCCCAACCGACAGTGTGACGGCAGCCTGGGGCTTCAGATCCCCGCTGCTCTTGGAGGACTTGAGCGAGTGGGTGGCAATTGTGTTGTAGCCCTGTAGCGTGTGGTGCCTGGGGGGTGCCTGGCTGTCGGATATGGCCCGGCCCAGTGTCATCATGCTTAGGGGGTTGCGGTAGGCCACGGCCACCGGACCGGACGCTGGCGGGCTCGTCGGTTCATCCTCCAGTGCGTCGTCTGAGCTCCAGAAGCCTGAGAGGTTGGGCCGCGGTCGCCGCTTGGTTCCCTCCGTCTTGGCGCGGTCTTTGCTTTTGCTGCGACGGGTTGTCTTGGTGCCGTCTGCACCCTGACTGCCACTGCCCTTGGCGGCCGACCCCTCCAAGGACTGGGATTTGGCGAACAGCTTCTGCACAGAGTGCACCAGGTTGCGGATGCGGCCGGGGCTCTCGCTGCGCTGCACAATAAAAAATATAAGTCTTTTTATGTGGTTATTATATGTTGTTCATGTTTCATTAACATGCCTTAACATTTTAAGATTCTTTTTCTGTCTTTCTGTTTTTTTTAGCACTTATAGCTTGCTGTTAATTTAATGGTAACTAACTTCTATGTCTATGATCTATGTCAGCATGTGATACTCGTTTCATAAAATGTTAATGTTTTTGCAGATAAACATACATTGTTGCAAAAGTTTTGACATTCCTGGCCAAATTACACATTTTCTTTTTTGTTTTTTGAAGTGAAAAGAAGTAAAAAATATCAAAGCACTTCTAGCTCACAATTTCCACTGTCCACTTCCACTGTGGAAGTCAAAGTAAGACCTGGAAGACCAAGAAAACTCTGATTTTTTGGTCAGCATAATTGCTCATATGCTGGCCTGAAAGGCAAAGCAAAACCCCTATATGACAGCAAAGAACCTGCAGGAAGGTTTAGCTGACACAGGAGTGGTGGTGCACTGTTCTACTGTGCAGCGTTGCTTGCACAAACATGATCTGCATGGAAGAAACCTTACCTGCGACCTCATCACAAAAGTCAACATATGAATTATGCAAAACACCTTCTAGATAAGCCAGAGGTATTCTGGAAACGTGCTGTAGACCAAAGAAGTAAAAATTGTGTTGTCACTAAAAGTGTATTTGGCAGAAAAAAGCAGCATTTGATGAAAAGAACACCTTGCCTAGTGTTAAGCATGGGGGTAGATCTATTATGCTTTGGGGTTGTGTGGCAGCCAGTGGCACAGGAAATACTGTAGATAGGAGAGTAGATTCCACGAAAGCTGAAAAGAGGCTGGATTCTACAACAGGACAATGATTCAAAACATACCTCAAAATCCACCATGAACTACTTCAAGAATGGCCCTCACAGTCCCCTGACATCACTGAAAATCTGTGGGTAGATGTTTAACACGAAGTGCTTGCAAGACGGCCCGAGAATATCATAGAACTAGAATAGTTCTGGAAGGAAGAGTGGGTGAGCTTTGCTAAAACATGGAAAAAACACCACTAGCTGGCTATAAACAAGCTGTGATATCTGCCAAATGGGATGTTACTAAATACTAACATAGAAGAGTGTCCAAACCTCTGCACAAGCCATAAATATTATTTTTTTTAATCAAATATAAAGTTGCTGCGTGTTAATATTTACAGAAAAGGTTTTTTTTTAAATACTTGTTGTGTTTACTTCTTTTCACTTCAAATATCAACACAATAGGCCAGAGGTGACCAAACCTTTACATGCAATATACATTATAGCCAGCTAGCTAGCTAATGTTAGCTAACAGTGGATAGTTAGCCATGGGCATTTTTTAAACTGAGAAATGAGAAAATATTAATCCAAACATTTTCCGTATGTTTCTGTAATGTTTTCTTACAGCGTGCTTGGTGCCACGACTGCGCCGGTGGAACTGCAGCGTGCTGAAGCCGTCTCGCTGCAGGGGCAGGTGCCGCTCCAGTTGGTCTAGCAGGCTGGCCGGGAGGCGGTTCATCTTGGCCGCTGCCGCCGAGGAGATGGTTGCCGTGCCGCTGCTGATCATAGGGGGCGCTGCGAGGCCCAGGCCAAGGCCCATTCCCATAGACATGGAGGTGGTGAGAGTGCCCGCTCGACTGCCCGTCTGAGCCACGCAGCCCTGTTGCTGGAACCACAGCAATGAGCCCAAATTCAAACTCGCTGTATTCAGCATTACTCTCTGTTTCAGAAAACCTTGACCAAGTCCTTGGGGACAAGGCTGTTCACAGTTTTATTCTGTTCCAGCTCCAGCTCCACCTGAGCCAGGTAATGAAGTGCAGATTACCTGGACAGGTGCACTGATAGAAGCAAAAGAATACAACATGTGGGGTCCCATAGGATTGGGTCAGGAACTACTGCTGTATTTAAAGTTCAGGAGACTAGCACTGTGTTGACAAACAGAGAGCAAAATAAAGATGCAGTCTCGCAGCACTGCTGACTGGTTTACCAGTTTATAATCAGAACTTATTTGCCGAAAACTTAACCTTAACTTCCAACTTGTAAAAATAATCCTTTTACATCCGTTTTCATGTCACTACCGAAACACAAAGAGTTTTAGGCCATAGGTGGAGCCTTATTTAGCCACGCCCCTGCATTTTAGAGCAGGAAGTGAGACTGTATTCCTGTCCCTCATGAACACATGGTGAGCAGTTAGATCCCATATAATGATTTTATGTGTGGCTGTTTTGTTAGTGATGTACTGACTAGCATTTTTGAGTTCTGCTTAAAATAAGCTACAGTTGTTTCTACTGAGGCGGTACGGTGGCTCAGTGGGTAGCGCTGTCGCCTCACAGCAAGAAGGGCCTGCGTTCGATTCTCTGCGTGGAGTTTGCCTGTTCTCCCCGTGTCTGCGTGGGTTTCCTCCGGGTTCTCCGGTTTCCTCCCACAGTCCAAAGACATGCAGTCAGGCCAATTGGATGTGCTAAATTGCCCCTAGGTGTGAATGTATATGTCTGTTTCTCTGCCCTGCGATGGACTGGCGACCTGTCCAGGGTGTGTCCTGCCTTCCGCCTAATGACAGCTGGGATAGGCTCCAGCACCCCACCGCGACCCAGAAGGATAAGCGGTTTAAATGATGTATGCTTCTACTGAAACATTTGGTAAAGTTTCAGTAGTGACAAAATGGAATGTTCAATCATTTACACACACACAATCTAAGCCGCATATCCTTCTGGGCTGCGGGTCTGCTGGAGTCTATCCCAGTGGTCACTGGGCGGAGGGCAGGAAACACCCTGGACAGGTCGCCAGTCCATCACATACACAATCACACAAACACACACACTCTCACACCTAGAGTGTCCAGTTAGCCTGACTGCACGTTTTTAGACTGTGGGAAGAAACCAGAGCACCCAGAGGACACCCACTCAGACAAGGGAACAACATGCAAACTCCACACAGTAAGGATCCTGGTTGCCCGGCCGGGGAGTTGAACCCAGCGCCACCAAGCTGCCCTGTTTAAGCATTTATTTAAATAAAATCAACATAATTAAGATATAAAGTCACTCAAAACATTATTAAGGTATAGAGTCACTCAAAGCAAAAAGGATTTTCGTCTAAAGTTTAAGTCATTTAAAAGTCCCAAATGTGTTTTTTTTTTTTTTTGGGTGAACAATCCATAGTTATATACACAGACATTTTTGCCTATTTAATAAGGAATTCTGCATGATTATATAAAAAAGAAATCAATAAAAAGATGTAAACAGACTCATTCAGAGTGGTTTGATGTGAAATGCTCTGTTCTAGAGAAATAGTTCACAGTGGTGGTGATGGGAACCAGACTTCTGAGTTTAATGCCTCTAAAAGCTCCTCACAGAAAGTTATTACATGCCATGGTTATGAATGCGCTGAATGAAGCCTGAGACATTGCTTTACGATAGTTCTGCTATAAGGATTTAGCCTAAACCAAATTTTTTTTCAAAAGTATTTTCAAAAATACTCTCATTGGGTGTGAAATACAATTGTGTGCAAAAGTTTGGACACTGCTGGTCAAATGACACGTTTTGTTAAAGTGAAAAAAGTGAACACATCCTCTACAGAGAACACACTTCTGCACATTTTAAGGCACAATTACTGTGTATTTGCTGAATTTAACATAATGGGAGCAAAATAAGACATAAAATGTGGCCTGTGCTAAAGTTATGGCACATTTTGTGTTTTTTTTTCAGTATGTTAAAGTAAATAGTAGAAACACATAGAAAAATGCCATATGTAAGTGTGCTCTCTGTAGAAGATGCGCTAACATATTTACACTGTGTTCAAAGTTTTGCATGCAGTTGCACATGCAGTGTGTTGTAAGGCAAAATAGTCCTCATAGAAAACTTATTTCAGATTTATCACTATTTTACCATCATTAACATTACATATAAAAACACAGAAGACACAAGTAGGTTGTGGTCTTGTATAGTAAATAAAATGGCTGTATTTGTGTTGTAGACACTGTGACTCCTGGTTCCACCACCACTGTAAAGAAGTCTGAGTCTGTAAGTCTCTCTACAATGAACCATTCCACACCAAACCACTCTGAATGGCTTTGTTTACATCTCAATGACAGAAGGTTTGAGAAATCAATGGAATTCCTCTTTAAAATGTTTTTTGAAGCATTAATTGGGTGAAAAATCTAATTTCACCTTCTACCTCAAATGTAGTCTATCAACAAAGACATGAATCTGAAGTTGGTATCTGAAGTTTGCTTCTTTAGTTTTGCACTGGAGCTACGAGGCTAATGTAGCTAACATAATATGAGCTTATTAGCATCAGTATATCAGTATACACTGTTAGAAATAAAGGTTCTGTACAGGTACATCTTTTGTTCATCAAGGTACAAACAATTTAAATGTACCCTCAAAGATGCATTTTAAAACAATGGTTTTAAGGTCCTTAAATCTGTTTTTCCCAGGTGAAAAGTACATATTTGTACCTAATGTTTTAAAACAGAACAATAAAATAAAAAGCCTGGAGACGAGACGGGGTGTGGAGTCAATACAGCTTAGAACATATAATTTCAATGGATTACGGTACAATTATGTTCCCTGACTAAAGGTACTGAGATGTACCACCCCAGTGAAAGAGGGGAACTGCCCCAGTGACACTTTCATACATTTTTTTCTGAGTGTTTGGTAAGAAGAGAATTGTATAATTACATTTTTTGACTATTCCTGTACCTCATGCTAGCAATCATACATTTTTAAACAACTACGAGATCCCTACCTGTGCATACTCGCTCTGCTCGGCCTGGGTGGGGAACTGGAAGCGAGGGAAGGTGCTGCTTGTGGTCAGCTGGTTGTTCAGCGGCACCAGACAGTCTGGCTGCAGAGCCATAGGGCTGACCGGAACGGGGCTGGTTGGGGTGAAGTGGTGCATATGGGGGTCCAGGGTGCCATAATGGTTGATGGTGGGGCTGAGCAGGTACGTGGCATGGGGGTCTGGGGTCAAGGGACAAATTGGCTCCTGGGGACCCGCCGTGGGCCCGCAGGAGTCGGACAAATGGAGGCTTCGGTTGGCCCCGAGGCTTTTCATTGCTGCTGTGGAGGGACCCCTCTAGAACATGCTGGTTCAAGTCAGACTACATCCCTGGAGGACGCCCCCTAGTGGAGAGACACAGAACAGTATATGTTAAAAAAGATACACACGTGGTAAAGGCGTAGGGCTGAGCTATATTGACAAAGTACCACATTGAGATTGTTGATATATACAGTGCTGGGCTAAAGTAGGTATTATGTTACGTTTGTCATTTTTCAGTATCAGAAAAAAGCAGAAAACATGTTTAACAGAAGCCTCAACAAATAAATATATTAACTTTTTATCACAGCTTCCATTTTTTTTCAGGAGACTTGCTTTCAGTTTCTGCAGCGATATGTTTCCACACCTCCGAAGTTCAGTCTTAGAAGTTGGTTACATCTCTGCTTCTCACTCGCCAAAGGCATTCAGTGATGTTGAGGTCTGGACTCTGGGGTAGAGTCATATTTTGTCTGTATCTTTTTTGAACTCCACTCTTTGACCTTCTCCTTCCTTATGCAGGTGGATTATCTTAAATCTAATCTCCTCAGAAATATCCTGTAAACGCACTCAATGTGTTAAAACCTTGCTGACGGGCCTGCGCTGTTTTAAGCAAAAATTATGAATTTTGTTGGATGGCATGAATGTCTAGGGTTGCCAACTCATTCCTGTAAAATTCCTGAACCCTCAATTGGTGACTTGATTTTTCCTTAAATTCAGTGTAAGGGTAGCTATGCACAGTACATTCCTAAAAAATGGTTCTCCTAGGGTTCTTTAGTAAAGACAATGGTTCTATATAAAACCATGAGCACTGAGTGAGCCTTTGCACGGTCAAATGGTTCTTCTCAATGATAAAAAAAGCCCAGTTGTGTAGGGTTCTTTAAAGAACCCTTTTAAAAATGTTTCTACAAAGCACCAAAAAAAGCTTCAACTATTGTTACGAGTCAAAGAACCCCTTTTCAGTACTATACAGAACCCTTTTTGCTAAGAGTGTAACTTAAAGATGGTTCTTCAAGGGTTCTTGAGTAAAGGGAATTGTTTTATTACAACCATGAGTAGAACCGTTCCACGCTTCTTTGCATGGTGAAATGGCTCCTCCGACTGATGGAGAATGCAATGTATATGGTTCTATTGTTCTGATGTAAAGCTTATAACAATAGCGGAATGCTATATAGAACCAAACACAACCCGTTCTCCATCAGTCTGAAGACCCGTTTAAGTATGCAAATGGTTCTATATGGGCTAGAACTCATGGTTGTAAATGAAACCATTGCTTTCACTAAGGAACCCTTGAAGAACCTTTTTTTAGGGGTGTAGTGCACTGAAGATACACAAAGGCTCTTGACTGACAGAGACGTTTCACCCTTTATTTTTATACATCACACTTTTTTTCTACTTACATCACATCCTCCCCAAAGAGCCTTTAACCTCCGCGCAGCATCACAGCCTACAGTCTTTCTGAATGTCATTCACAGCTTGCACCAGCGAGGTTTCACAGCCTCCATTCCTCCGTCTCCTGCTACCCATTGAGCTAGCCGTAATTCATTAACCTCCCCCTGAATGGGCGAGGGACATTTATCTCCAAGCCTGAATTGCCCGTGACGCTGACGGAGTCATCTGAAGCCGTCCGCAGCTGCGATCGCGGCCCCATTCACAAAAATCAGCGGTATTCTCTCCCTCAGCCCCCTCCGCTCCTCCGCTCCACTCACAAAGCGCCTCTATCAGCATGCTAAAGGCAGCTAGACCCCCACCTCTCCGCCCCTCCGCCCCGGCTGCAGCCGCGCCGCCTCAATGGGGCTGGAGCGCCACGGCTCCACAATCCGGATGACTCACAGGACCGTCGGAGAGGGCTGAGAGCCTTGTTAACATTCAGCTAGCAGCTGCCTAACCTCCAGATCAATCCCCCCCCAACGCTGCGCTCAGCGGCTGACATCAACCGCTCCGCCCGCTCGCCGGCTGCTCGCCGCTGCTGCTCCATTCACAGCATGTCAGAGCCCCCCGGCCTGAGGGTGCCGGAGGAACACCGCCAGATAGATGCCATGTCACCGTGACCTTGATGGACCTCATTTGGAGATGAGCTTATCCACCACAGCACCTTGGAACTGGGTACTGGGGAAAATAGGGAACGGGTTTGCTGCTTTCTGTATCAACAGGCGCACATTGTACCCCAAAACGGCTCTAGATCAGGTGTCTTTTTGGGGCAACCCAAATGTAAAGAAGAGCCATTTTGTCCTATTTCAACAAAAGTCAAACCAACTTGGGAGCCACAACATTTTATGTCCATTTTATTGGTGTAATGTTTTATCGTCTTGGCCAAGTATGTGCTAATGTCCTAGGACAGGCTAAAAAATATAATATAATATAATAGAATATAAACGCAGACTTTGCTCTGCTTTAAGCTTTAGCTCAGCTATTTTCTCACATCTCTGGCAGATACTTCGACTTTTTGGTGTTTGACAGTTTCTCGTTGCAGATTGAACCCGCAAAAAAACAGCTGGAGTGCATAAAAATGCAACTGAGTCTGTCCATTCGTCTCTAAATTCTTGATGTTTGTCTTAAATCTTTCTCTTCTTTGTCTTTCATTAGGAACTAGCCAGGTGAGCCGATCTTCAGCGTTAAAGGTTGGTGAATCAGCAGTTCTACATTAATTCCAGCATTTAAGACCATTTACTGTTAAACCTGTGTTAGAACTGTGTGTTGGATCACTCAGCAAAGATTTATTTCACTGCAGAGCATTATTTCTACTTAAAAGGAAGATTATTTGAATTTTTCTAAAAATCTAACTCTGCTGTGGAGCTGCAAAAGGGCAGTAAAAGTCCCGCATGTGGCTCCGCAACACATGCCAATCCCTGCTCTAGACCCTTAGCATTTTAAGTGTTTACCTTAAAAAAACAATGCCTCTGATTTGACACCAGACAACATGTCTGTTACCATTTCCTCTAATGTCTTTCTGTGAAGGAGCTTTAAGAGGAATTAAACTCTTCAGACGTCTGGTTCCTACCACCACCACTGTGAACAGTTCTCAGTTGGTAAGTTTCTCTAGAACGAAGCATTTCGCTTCAAAACACTCTGAATGACTTTGCTCACACCTCAATAAACTAATTTTGTAGATATTTTCGAAAAATTGGTGGAATTCCCCTTTAAGTAACTTTAACCTAAAAAATTTACATTTCAATTTTGATTTTTTTTCACTTAAGATTAAAAAGCGAAACATTTAAGCTTAAGCTAAAGGCCAAAACCCACTCAGGACGTTTTATGCAAGCGATCGCTGGACACTTTCTCCTGCAAGAAAACACTGCAGATATGAAGATGTCACAGATAAACAGAGCTGCTGGAGCAGAACTGAATGTTCAGTTTCACCCAAATGAATGAAAGCTTTGGCATTTAGGACTCATCATCTGAGAATGACACAGAAACACGCGGAAAAAAGTCTTAAAGGGGCCAAATCATGGAAACACAAATTTTCCTTGTATTATTTATTTTTAAATCAAATAATTTTAAGTAATATGTAGATGTTGTTAGAGTTTCAACATGTACAATTCACTCCTCAGTCTGCTGTGAATTTACCGTTTTTGCAATGTCATAAAAACCTTCAAATTTACATATGTCTGCCTACAGCGGTTTAGCTCCGCCCACTCATGCTGTAAACAGTGTTTCAGTCCTCTTTTTGATTGTGTCACAATACAGGGCAGCCAATCAGAACAAAGCTCATACATATATCAGTCTTAAAGGCACAATAACACAAAAACAGCCTGTTTAATTCTAAGGGATATACATCTTGTTCTGTTGGTTCCTGATGGTTTTGTAATGTGTTTTGGCTTGTTTAATGGGTTGATATCACAGTGTAAAGGATCCTAATGGCATAAAAGGTGACTAATGGCTGATCATGAAGGCATCTGATGTTTCCTAATGGAATCTAAAGATGTTCTACAGGAAACTAGTGTTTTTTTATTGGATACCATTTGGCCAATTCCCATTGGGATTTAACCCGAATGGTTTCTAATGGTCCTTTTTCAGCAGGGCATTTAGCAGTTCTATATCTCTGTCCTTCTGCCTCTTCAGATTCTACTTGCATAAGCCACTTCTGAACCCCAAAAGATGCATTTTAGATGAAGGACTCATCAGCAATGGGTCCAGGATCAGTCGGCAGGGAGTCCCGGCTTCCACTGCTGGCTCCGGCACCAGCACAGCCCCATCATTACCATCCACACACAAGCCCTTCACTAAAGCCACCAACAACTTCCCCTCAGGAAAATACCGCAGATGGGAGAGCAGCGATTTTCAGTCTCATTGAAATGAACGGAAACTTCAACATAACTTAAACACTTGAATGAAGCGTTTGGTGAAAAGTCCACCCCATGTGTAGTCAGTCAGTCAGGACATCTTTGGCGTCTGAAGTTTACTTCTTTAGCTTTTTGCTGAAGCTAATGTAGCTAACAAGTAATAGAAGTTAAGCTAACTAATTAGCACAGTGCTAAATCATCACATATTTGCTTTTAGTCATGTCAAGTTACTAAGTTATGTCAAACAGACTTGTTTATCTTGTTTCTGACAATTTATGATATAATATTATCTCTAAAAATGCGCGAAAGTACAGATAAACATCAAGATGGCTAATGTTTTTAGCCACGTAGCATTCTTTTGTCCAATTTTATACATTACTAGTATTCACATGCGCACATACATCAAGTCTATTTGTCAGATGAAGTTGATAGTTTGAGGCAAATATGTGATGATTTAGCCAAGTCTGCTCAGTGCTATATTGTAGGCTACACACTTGTTAGCTACATTAGCCTTGTAGCCCTTTTCCATTCAACCCCCGACTCCATACAGTCTACACATAAAAACTAAGCTGCAAAAAAATCTACAGCAGGTATCTACACCACTTACACTGAAGTTATAAAGAGTGTTTCAGTACGCACTGCTTTTTGAATGAGGCAAAATAAGGGGCAGCCAATTAGAAAAGAGCTATAGGGCATCATTGCATCTCTCAGCCTCATCGGTTTGACAGAATTCACACTTTCGTATCCTTTTTGTGTTTTGAATGAATGAGCGCATTTACATGCACTTAATAATCTGATCATAATCG